GGCACTTCTATTTTCTTTTCCCGTTCATCTTTTCCATCGTTGTATAGAAACCAACCACTAAGAACTCCTCTTCACAAACCATGTCACATTGTTGTTCGACTTAATTTTAACAAAAAAGTTCTTGGACAAAGAAAATTGCCTTTGTGAACAAATTAAGTGATGAAATAAAATTTTGAGCTCTTTGGACATAATGATATTCAGAAGATTTGGTATAGTGTAAATTTGGTGGTGACTTTCAAACCAACTCTTGGGTTTAAATTAACCTCGTGACACAGTTTTTGTGCAGTTCTCGATGACAATTTGCGTTATTTTCCTCGCCTATGCAAATTCTCTGTCGTACCAAAATGTTTACATTTCTTTATAACAGGTTGTACTGTAGATGTAGGGACAGCTAACCAGTTTGAAATAGTACTGTAACTATTTCCCGACTTGCGGAAGTTAATAATTCTTTATCTTAAGTCAACGCTAAGCTCCTTTGTCTTCCCCATCGTATTGTTATGGTAAGAATAACAATAGTGTTATGTAGTGGTTTCACAGTGGAGGCTTGTATTGGTACTAAGTCGGTCCTAAAATAGGTTCGACGTACGAAACGTTAGGAACTTGATATGATAGTTAATAACGCAGGGAAATCTAGTGGTGGTGGCTGATACTTTAATATCCGATTAATGGTCGTCCGACTCGCTCCGTGACTGCTACTACTACTCCTACTTATTATAGGTGGGAGAGTCTATTAACTATAGAATAGGTGTGTTTCAGTATAACAAATAGTGACAATCTATGCACCACGTGATGTTCTTTGCCGGAATTATCACAAATATTCTACAGAATAAATAGTGTAGAATACTTCACCGATAAAATAATTATATAAATTACTTATACTTACATGATTTAATCTATTTAAAATGATATTTTCTGCTGTACGAATAATTTTGTCTTTTCCTATTTTGCATAATTCACCTGTCAAATTTGTTGTATTTAACCTAGTGTACTGAAAATTGAGATTTATATTCCTTTCTTTGTGCTTATTAGCATATAACAAAATCCGGGCGTTATACGGGCATTAGATACTGAGAAATGGA